AAGCCTCTCCTGTAAAAAATTTTAAAAGGTACATGTTACAATAATATATGGATGTGAAAAAAATTTATTTTATTTAAAACATTTTGGCGTTTGAAACATAAAATAAAAGTAGCGAATATTCTATCAAGGGTATCGAAAGACATATACAATTTTAAAGGTACCGTAAGGTATTTTTCATTCTTTTTTACAATTTTAAAAATAAAATAAAATTTTTAATTTTATTTAAAATTGTAAAATTTAAAATTGTAAAATTTAAAATTGTAAAATTCTTTTACAATTTTAAAGGTACCGTAAGGTATTTTTCATATAGATTTTAGCAAAAATGTTATCATTTTTGCTAAAATCTATATTTTTGTACTTCAACAGCTTAGAATTTTATAAAACAAATTCATAATCAAAATCACTGTTAGTTATCGAAGAATAACCAAGATGTGATTTTTGCGTAAATGTCACTAAACTATACAAATTGCTATTATCCATCACAGTATGAATGTTTCTTTCATGCAAAAGTGTCCCTTCGATTTGTATGGAACTGTTGTGTGTTGAAATACTATCAGAACACTGTCAAGCGAGCTTCTGAATGTAAACAAAGAACACCCCATCTGGTGTTCAAAGCAGTGCTTCACTTCTAGTGCCGGTTGGTGACTCCTTCCTTTCTTACCTCCATGGGGTTATAGACTCCCCCTCTGGCTTGTACAATGTATCGGCAAAGAGCCAGAAATATGTTGGTTTTGTCTGCCTCGTCTTCTATACTCTATCACCTGGTTCGTAAAACGTCAATGACCATAATATATTTTTTGTGCTTTTCATACTCTTCATTAAATTAGGATGATTCATCAGCAACATAGAATCTGTATATTTCCCTTCAAGCTTCGTTGAATCAGGATGGTTCATAGTACAGCATAGAATCAGGATGATACTCTTCAAACTTCACTGAATCAAGATGATTCATTCAAAACTTCATAGATTCAGGATGATGGCCTCCACACTTCATTCATTTTGGGTCAAACTTCATTGAATCGGGATGATTCTCTTGAAACTTCATTGAATCGGGATGTGATTCATTCAAACATTTCTGAATCAGGATGATTCACTTCAAACTTCATTGAATTGGGATGATTTATTACACAACACAGAATCAGGATGATTCTCTTCATACTTCATGGAATCGGGATGATTCACTCAAAATTTCACAGAATCAGGATGATTCTCTTCAAACCTTCACTGAATCGGGATGATTCATTCAACAATACAGAATCAGGATGATTCATTCAACAGCACAGAATCAGAGTGATTCTCTTCAAACCTTCACTTAATCAGGATGATTCATTCAAGAATATAGAATCAGGATGATTCATTTAACAGCAAAGAATTAGGATGATTCTCTTCAAACTTTACTGAATCAAGATTATTTATTCAACAGTATAGAATCAGGATGATTCTAGAAAAGTTCTCTACATGGGGTTGGATCTCTCTCTGGTTCGAAGCGGTTCTCTTGAATTTTTGCAATAAGAGGTTTAGCTGAGTACACTGTTTTGTATGTAGATGTTTACCTTCACCACTTCGAAGATTCGCTAAAGTGAATGTTTCAAAGCTTTATCTTGACTGGAAAATTTATGGAATTTTTTGTCTATGTGCGTAATTAGCTCTTTGAGTTGAATCACTTTCAAATTATCTGAGACGGGCAGACCCAGTTCTGTGGCTAACACTTGCAGATCTTTTTTCTGGTTAGTCCCAAAAATGCATGTTATCATACTTTCAATGTCCATTGAAAAGTTCAATATTTGTAAGAAGAAAAATTATACGTTCAGAAATTTTATGAATTTCTTAATTACTTTTCATAATTACATAACATTTGAAAAACAACAACAAACAAAATCATTAATCGGAGATTACTTCGAAAGCGAAACTAACATTTTACAAAGATTGGTACACTTGCCAATGGACAATGAAATGCACAAATTTAGTAAACATAAAATCCCCAAAATAGAATTTTAACTTTGATAAATTTTCTATTAGTTATGCCTATGATGTCTACAAAATCCTAAATGCTCTAAAAAAATTAAATTTTGACTGTAGTTTCTCTTTGAAAGACACAATTAGATATATAAGTTGTTCTCAAATATTACAAAATAATAATTTAAAAATTTGATAAACCGACAATTGGAAAATGCAGCAAGTTTTTGAATGCCTTTTCAGGACAATGGCAACTAAAATATTAATTTAAAAGAAGTATTCTTATTGCATATAAGCCAAAAATTAATGGCACAATTTAAATAATATACTAGATAAAACCCTTTTCACTTTTAAATCATTTCTATTCTCAAAGAGGGTAAGAAAATATCTGTTAATATTATTCATAAAATAAAATAAAACAAAACATACAGCTCATTCATAGTTAACAATTAACAGTACAGTTATAAAATCCTAAAAGAATTATACACACCGGAAACATTTATCAATCAGAATAAAATTAACATTTTGCCACTTAAACACTTTTCGTTCAGAACCGAAACGAAATTTACTTGTGTTGACTTCCAGTGAAATCAGAATTAATCTTCAGTTAAAATATTGAATTAAAACACAGGAAATTCAAATAAAAATCAATTATTTAAAGTAGTGTAAGACAATATAAATTCTTAAAGTGCAATATATCTAAAAGGAAATACCTAGAGCTTGTATATACTTTATATATGATTCTGTTTCGTTTTTAATGACACATTTTATTTTATATTTAATGTTATAGATTATTAAATTATTAACAACATTATAGATAGAATTTTATATTGCTTATTTAAGTGAAAATCTGTTATTTTACTATTAAATTAAATGCTTATTAAGTGAAAATATCTTATCTGTTATCTTCGGGTGAAGCTGAAACCAGTACTTCATACAATTTCTAAAACCTTTTAGTGAGGACTTCGCTGGTGGAAGTTGTACCTAAAACCTGGAAAAGAATATGAGTCGATGTCCTGAAGTCATAAACTAAACATGGTTTTTTTCTCAACTGGATAAATCATTCAAGCTCCATGTTGGGTAGCCAACTGTAACCAAAACTAACATAACAAAGACTCACTTGGCCTTTTTAAATAGTTTTAATTAACAAAACACAATTAAGATTAAACATTACAATTACGGGTGTTATAATTACACATTTAAGTTACAAAGTAAATCTCGGGAAACAACATCTTGGGGAAACAGCATGCTTAGTTCATGACTCCCGTACATCGACTGAAGGCTAGAGTCTTTTTTTTTCGCTGGTGTTTATTCCGGCGGCCGCTAGGTGGTGCTTGTTGAGCTGTGGGGTTACACTGTAAAATTATGATAATTATACAGTACTTGGTTGAGATTATGGTACTCTGCTTTTCTTCACAAAAAGTTGGTTTCATCATTCTTTTCATGTTCTGGATTATTTTGTTTGAGAGTATTATTATTTTATTTAACATATAAGAAAGCTATCGAATTAAAATTTATTTATTTATTGTTATTGATAACTTTTAATGATAAATTAAAAATATTCTAAATCTTCATAAAATGGTGCCAAAATTATCAATAAATTTCCAAATGATTTTCATTTCTAACTGTGAATAGGTCATGTTTTATCACTGCATTTCTATTGTATTTTTTTTTTTTTTTTTTCGAAAAAATGTTAGACGTTTTTGATTTATTGCGGAAAGTGGCCCAAAATAATGGTGGTTGTAATAATGAAGAAGCAGTATTATAAGTGACCCGTGGTTAGGGCTGCTAACCATTTGGCAATATTTTGCAAAATATGTTGGCAATTCATTGAAACTTTGAAATTATTGTGTTTAGACAGGACTTCTCTGTAACAGGCAGGATTATAGATATAAAGGATTTGTTGTACCAAATAACTTGATGGAAAGAAAAAAGAGATCCCATTTGTTTCTGAAGAGCTGGAAACAACGAAAGCAAACTTCAGTTGGCTGGATAATTGGTGCCTGTATGAGGAGCTATGAAAACCACAAGGCAGGAGAGTAATAAAACAGGCATAGTAGAAGATCATTGGCTGGTGCATCAGAAAGTGTGTCAACAGCAAATCGGAGAGTAGAGGATGAGGTTACTTTTATCAGTGAATCATAAGTCCAGGTTGCAAAAATGCTAATTCCTCTCTGCATGATTAAAAGTCTGAAGCATTTTAGATTTCTCCAAAGATTGATAATGCTTCAGTGCATGAATTGGGATATTAAATTTTGTTTTCACTAATTTCAAGGATGTTTGAGAGAAGGGTTATGAATACACTTACACAGTATAATAGTATTTACTCATTCACAGCTATAATTGTTTATTGATTACTTCAAAACTTGAGTTCACATATCACACACAACGGCTCTCAGCCATTCTTTTCATCTCATCTTTGCTGCTCTCTGCACAGATGTGCAGCTGCTATTAGAGCATGTGCAAACAAAAAGATTGCTGATGTTCTTATTTGAGAACAATCCATCAGGGTATTTTCTCCTTTGGGAGAATTCTTTCCTGAAGGGGTTGCTTTAAATTGGGAGTTCTGGAAGGAGAAAATTTTATCAGCTTTGGTGTTAAGTTTTCCGTGTATTTCTTATTGCAAATTTTAGGAAAAAATTCTTTGCGTCCCTTAAGCTATGAAACATGACCCTTTTTACATTTCACACAAGTGGGTTTTTGCATCTGTGGGAAGTTCACATGTATAGATCAAGTGGTTCCTGGAATACTTGAGATAACATGAGGTATTATTACAAAAAATTTGGCTGTGGCTAAATCTTTCACATATTAAAATACTGAGTCCGATTTTTACCTTATTGATAATTTTGAATGTGTTCACATTCAGGTTTAGTAAAGTCCTTATAATATATATTTTTCTCCCAGCGCCTGGTCGGCTCTCAGAGGCAAAAAACACAGGAAGCATATTTTCACATCCAGCACTTTTCCTTGAGAATTGTTTTAATTTTTGAACTGGGAAGCCTTTTGAGTTCATTTTTAAATTTATTAGTTTGTATAATATTTAGGCATTTGAAAAAATGGATTGCATCAAAAATGGCATCTGCTCTAAGAAAAGAAGTTGATTCTCCTCATGATGCAGATAAGCAGTTTTCTCAGCTTTCAAAGGTAAAATATTTTATTGAATTGCTTTTTTTTTTTTTTTTTTTTTTTTATTATTATTATTATTTTTTATTTGGTGCACAAATTCTATCATTTGAAGAATTAAAAAATCTGATGTCTAAGTTGAATGGATAAGATAAAACAACATTTATGTCCTGTGAGATTTCTTGGTTAATAAATGATACAACGCGTAATGAAAGTAATAAACAATTGCAATAATGAAAATAGAACTATTATTATTTTTAAATGTATCTAAAACTATTAATTAGTATTACTCATTAGAAATACTATTTGTCAGTTTTAGCAGCAACGAAAATGCCAAGGAAAAATGTTGCCACGCTTAGGCACAGTATGCACACAGATGCAAAAGCACTTTTTAATTATGAAATTTTAAAAGAGATAATAAAATAGTGAAAAAACTTGCTTAATTTATTTCTATAAATAAGTATAAATAATTGCTTAATTTATTTCTATAAATAAGTATAAATAATTTTTAATCTAGGTTCATGAACCCCTCACTACCCCCCCCCTCCAAAGTTAGTAGTAGTACAGTCAAGAGTCGTTAATCCGGACTCGTCGGGACTTCGGCGATTCTGGATTATCGATTTTTCCGGATTATAGATCATCAGTTTAAATATGGTAAGATGGCATGCAGAAATTATAAAATTAAAAATATGAAACTGTAATTTATGAAATAAAAAACAATTTTGATCTAAAAAGGGTATCAAAATTTACAAAAAAGAAAAGGTTAATATTTATTTGTTTACTTTATTAAACATTTCTTTCAATGTAAGTTGTTTAAGTTGCTTCGTCTTTTATGTGATAATACATTCTCTTTAATTCCATAAAAAGACATAATTTCTTTTCAGTTACAAAGTTCCGCTGTTCAAGTCCTATAATTGCTGTGTCGAGAATACCGACTAATTCGTCAATCGAAATTTTTTCGTTTTCAATAACCTCTGTCACTTTCTTCGCTATGGGAAGCGAATTATAATGACGAGGCATTTGATTTAAATCATATCAAAGACGAGTACATCGAGAGGAAATACCACATTTAGTAAGCAATTATAAGCCAAATAAAATAAAAACATCTGCCCTTAAGATAAGGATAGTGTTGACAGATCAACTTCCAATTCATTGCGCTCCACCGCGTTAAAGATAAACAAAGTTTAGATAAACAAACGTTAAAGTTTAGATAAACAAAGGATATGCCTTTATCCATTTTTTGCAGCAATTCCACTTTTTGTTTAATGGACTCCGAAAGATACTTTCGCTTTGTATATCCTTTACATATTAGTAAATATATATTGGAAATTCTATTTGAAATAATCAAAAGTTCAAACTTACTTTTATAAAATTGCTATAACAGTCTGCAAAAAATAATAAGCCAGATCCAATTCGAAGATTAAGGAACAACGCAATCTGCAACATTAACTGAAATAAATAATTAGATAATTTTAGCTTAGCTTATCCCGTCCTTTATACATTAAACACGCATTCATAAACGTATTTTGCACACGCGCACACGCAAATTCGGAGCCATAAAGGTCTTACACGCATGCGTCAATGCAACACATGCGCAGAAAGTTTGTAGCTTTGAGGTCCGGATTATGGGTGTCCGAATTAACGACTTTTGACTGTGCTTGGTTTTAATTATGGCTTTGTGTTTGCTGTATTGTTTGGCAATAAATGTCACCAAACTTGGCAGTTTATGGCTGCTCACTAGTAAAATCAAAAATGCAAGTGCATAGTGCTTTATGAAATTAATAATTTTTATTCAAAATACCTATTTCTACTGTTGAATGGTCTTTTATTATGCTACATTTACTTTGTTCCTTTAAAATACTTAAAAATAATACAGTATCTTAAATTTTATTTAATTTTAATTTAATTTATTTACATTTTCTATGATATACTTTTTTTGTACATAAATATAAAATCCCTTAGTACTGTTAAATTCAAAATAGTGTAAAAATTTTCACGTTGCAAAACCATTTTATAAATTTTTTAGATAGATTACTTTATCTTGCTGTTTATGTGCTAAGTAAGGAATAAGTAAGGAAAACTTTTGCTTAAAATGTATTGTTATAATCAGTTTATTTAACCTTATTCTTAAAATGAATTTCAAACAATGTCAAAAGTAGTGTAATATATCAGCGTTCATGAGTTTTAAAGTGACTTGCTTCTAAAATCTTAAACTAGAATTATCATAATGTCCTTTGTTATGTGCAACTGAAAGTAAATCAGAGATATTGAAAGTAAATAAATTATTTTTTTTTTATCGAAATGGTGGTTTTAATAAAAAATATATAAGGTTAAATTTTAGCTTGTAAGTGGTCCCCTAATTCTCATTCTATTTTGGTTATTTCTCCTGTCCATCTTAAAGTTTGTAATTGCTTGTAATAAATCTCTTTAAATTTTCATTTCTAAATTAATCTTTGTCAAATGATTCTTACATAATACTAGTAACACAGATGATTCTAAAGACTGAAACTCGGACTTACTTTTCTCCTTAACAGATAAAGAACAGATAATATGGTTTATAGCATAACTACCATGTTTTACACACACATATATGTAATGTTGCAGACTTAGATATAATAATGTAGGAAAGTTGATTACACAAATGTAGATCCATAATTTTACAGCAGCTTGGCAATTAGGGTAGATTAAATATTTATTTTTATATCAATTGGCATTTCTAGCCACAATTTACTTGACATTCTAATCATGCCTATTTGAAAACATTTACATTTTTAAAAAAGAAAGGAAAGAAGCAGCAATCTATTTTCACTGAGGAGCAGAAGCAAAGTGCCTTGTGTTCAGGATGAAATCTTAATTCAGAATGGGTACTTTCAGTTCGGAAATGATCAAAATTATACTTGAAATTAACAGTAGCTCCTTAATTCTTCATTTTAATTTGGGTTCTAAAAATAGCAATTGCTTAATAACTTTATCTGCATGGCATCATTTCTAGATTAATCCATATCACGTAAATTTTATATAATGCCTTAATGAAAACAATTTACATAAACTTTCAGCCAATAATAATGAATTATTAATTATTAAATCAAATGCATTGAAACTGAAACTAACCCTTTCTGATTTAAAATTTCATTCTGAACACAAGACACTTTGCTTCTACTCCTCAAAGGAGGCAGATTGCTGCTTGCTGTTTATCTTTTTACTGCAAAACTATCCAAAATGTAAATGTTTTGAATTAGGAATGATTAGAGTACCAAGTAAATTGTGGTCAGATTTACATATATGTAACTAAATCAAATCAGATCTCATGTGTGTGCTTCTTGATTAAAATTAACATTTTTATTTAACAGAGTGAAATTTCTAAACATCGAGAAGGACGACCTAACAAATCAACTTATTCCCCTCCTCCCAGAATGCTGCGACAGAGAAATTTAACGTATGTCACAGAGCATGAAAAAAAGAAAAATATACACAGTGGTTCTCAAACAGATGTAAGTATTAACATCATTAGAAACTAATTTGCATTTAAATTAGAAGAGACACAACAAAATAAAATTTTAAATTGAATAAAACATCCTATTTTTGGCATCAATTTTGAATAAAATAGTAATGCTTCTTCAAAAGAGGAACTTGTGTCTGATTCTCTTCGAAATGAAGAATTTATTCAAAATCTATGCCAAGCAAAATAAATTACTTTTTTACCTAATTTCAGATTGCATTGAAAGTCGTAATTCATATTTAATAGATAAGAGAAAAGATAATAAATCTGAAATTTTAACTGCAGGATACAATTTTATGCATTATGATTAATTTAATAATGTACTTTAAGATGAGAATGTTGTCATTTTGCTTGTATGAGAATTAGAAAATATGGTGTGAAAGAATATCTTTTACAAATTTTAGAATTCTTTGTTTAGTTTAAGGGTGGTGGAAAGTGCTTTTGCTTGATAATATCATAATTTTTAAAACATCTGAATTTTAAATAAATGTTATTTTGTAAGTAATATTAAATTCCCCTGTTTATTAACTTTTTCTGATATTTTTCATGCATTTCACACTGCATCTAGAGAAGTGCTATGCTGTTAAAAAATGGTGAGACAGAAATTAAAATAGTGTCACCTCTGTTGTGAATCCAGAAATAGATATTGGGGTGCTTCTGTTGTGAATAGTGTTCTGAATCTAGAAAATACCTTTTCACCAAGCTTATTGAAACTCCACTTTTTGCTTCAAACTTGCTTTTCTTATATAAAGTTAATCTTCGCCCCCCCCCATCCTCTTGTCAGGTAATCTGGGGCCTGTGTGAAGCCAGGACTTCCTTTCCCAGAGCCCACCAGCAGCTGAGCTGTATAGTCACTGGTATTTCAGTGCAAGGTAGTGAATGGGCTGGCCGCATGGGCATTTTTTGTGGTTTTCCTCATGATTAATCTATATACGAGCCTGTTTCCCTTATAAAGTCCTCCTCTTAGGCAGATAGCCCTCGAGTGCTTTGCCATACGTAATTAAACCAAATGATATCAAAATAAACACTTTATTAGAATCATCTATGCCTCTCAGCCTTTGCTTGTGGTATTATTAGAATAGCAAGCTCTATAACTATATAGATCTGCTTTGGCTGAATGATGTAAAATCACTGTTAAAGAGATCTGTTGTTGAATAAGTTCTTAATATGATAATTGAACAGTGACTTCATCCCATATGTTGTTCCTTATGCATTGTTGCTTATCCATTGTTTCATTCTTTGGTTTTGTTTCTCTCTGTTTCGTTCTCTGGGTTTTCTCAACATATAATGTAAATATCTAGTTGTAGTGAAAGTTTTCCGCCAAAAAACATTCTTAATAAAGTTGGGGAGGAAGCATAAAAGCAGTACTTTTAGTGTGGGTAGTAATCACCATCCAAATCTATGATTTTCTGCCAATGTTTTGATATTTTTCAAAGCATTGAGCTTGGAAACTTGGTGGCCACAAGTCCACAAACAGATTAAGCTCATTTCGGAATTCCTGTGCAGAATGGAAGATAGCACCAGCAAGATATAGCTGCAGGTGTGAAAAAAATTTAGATGTCGAAAGTGCAATGTTGAGGCTATGTTGGGTGGGGCAAAAGATCCCATTCGAGTCCATACAGACACATGTGATTTTGCATTATCTTAATGGAACATTACTTTTTTGCGCTGGAACTCAGTTTGACGTTTTTCCTCAATAGCAGCGTCAACACGGACTAGTTTCTCGTACACCTTACTCTTGGGGGTTTTACCTTTCTCCAGATACTCTTTGTGCATAATACCATGGCAATCCCACCAGATATAAAGCATTATCGTTTCCTTAGTCAAATTACGCTTTGCGATGCTACCAACGGGCTCACCGCTTGCAGACCAACCCCTTTATACGCCTGTGTTGTCAAAGTACCGTATTTGACGGCATATAAGACGCACTTTTTTCCCTAAATTTGGTCTCAAACAAGTTACCTGTGTCTTATACGTGAAGAACACAGGTTAACTTTCAATACTGAATGCTATTTTTAACCCAGATAAAGGTCTATACACATATAACTTTTTCTACATATGCCATAATTATTTTGTGCATACGTGAAATATCTGTCGCCAAAAAGCTCCAAAGCTCGAAGCTGATGTCTAAGTTCGAACAGTTTTGATGGTCACATTACGTCTATGGAGCCTTTCCTTCTTTACATAGACTTTCTTTGACTCAGCCGACACACATGTTGGTATCGGTGCTACTCTGTATAAACGTGTCAGTATTGGTGCTTAAAACTGTTTGTTTAAAATAAATACCCTGAAAAATATGACTACAAGAAACAAGAGATTAAGCTATACAATTCAGTATAAACTAGGAGTGTTAAACTACGCCAAAGTACATGGAAACAGAGCAGCAGCAAGGCATTTCGGTCCACCACCTACCGAAAAAATGGTATGTACTTAGCGACTGCAGGAAGATCAACTGAAGACTGCTAAAAAACAAAAATATAACCTTCGATGCCCAGCTCCATCTTGGCCTGAACTTGAAAATGCCATAAAAATGTGGGTGCTAGATAAAAGGAAATCTGGGATAAGTGTTTCAACCAAATTAATAATCAATGATGCCAAAGGATTTGCAGAAAAACATGGGAATCAGAACTTTTCAAGGTCTGAGGCCTGGTGCTACAGGTTCATGAAAAGGCAAGGCTTATCCATGCGCACAAAAAAACAACTATTGCACAGAAAATGCCAGCAGATTATGAAACAAAAATACTAGCATTTCATAGGTTTGTTATAAATGCACGCAAGAAAACTTCTTTTGAGTTCGGTCAAATAGGGAAATATGGATGAAAGAGAAAGAAACCACATTTTAAGTTATTGTGGTACCGCGCTCTTGCGCAGACTATTGAAACTTTTTTCCCTTGTGTGGGGGGCCTTCTAAATAAGAGTGCGTCTTATATGCCGTCAAATACGGTAAATCCACTTTTCATCACAAGTGACAATCTGGTCTAGAATTTTGTCTTTGTGTTGATATTTGAGCAGATTAGTGCAGGCTTGAACATGTCTGTCCCCTTATCTGCTTGAGTCAGCTCATGTGACATCCAGCGATTGAACTTGTACATCAAGTTTATGAAATGAATTGTACGAGTAATGGATATTGCACTAACATCTAACTCCTTAACTTTTTAAAGCCGGCGGTACAGCAGTTGTACCAGGAAAATGAATTTCTTTAACGGCGACTGTGATACAACTGTCGTACCATCATTCCCTTCCCTATTTTAGAGTAACTGCCTATCTGTAGATCTCTGGGTGGTCCATTGTTGCTGTTCAGAATAGCCACTGGCTGCGCCTTGTTTCCTTCTTCTTATCAGTTTGGCTACATTTTGGCGAAAACCACAGGTTTCGTCTCGCGCCAATATACTTGAAAAATCAAATAGAAGCTATCTCTTTCTCAAATGTTATAGCACTGTCTCATAATTTTAATGCTAAATTTTTTAGTACTAACTTTTGCTATGATTAAAACTTCAGCGATTTTGCACGCAATTTAAGCTTACCAGATTTAATGCTTTTTAATCTTAGCAAATAAGATTATATTAATATTTTAGATTTAATGCCTTTCTAGAAAATAGGTAAACCACTTTTATCGTTTAGTTCCTTTTTATACTTATGAATAATAAGATGTTATTTTGGCCCTTTTTTGGAGTACATGAAACCCTTAAGAACTGTTAACGCTTTTGAAGGCAATTTTTGTCTGATTTATCAGGAGATAAATAAGAGACAATTGCATGCATAATAGTTTTTGTGATTTTCATTCATTATAAATTAAATAAAACCAATTTATCTTTAGACCCTCTTTTAGGATGACATCTTCCAAAAAGTATTTAAATATCATTAAAGCTCATGTAACTTCTAAATTGAATCAAAACATCAGTTACTTTGCATAAAATTTCGGCCAGTTTTATTTGCTGAAATTCTTATACTCCTCAAGAGATAAAGGTAATTCAAACAAGTTAATAAAAAATTTATCTTTAAAAAAGGAATGTTATTTTGTCTATAATAAGGTGTATGTCAACTTACTATTAAATGTATGAGAATTAGGACTGGATTACGGAAAAGCACACGAATGCTATCTGATTAAGGACGCTTTCATGTAAACCTTTATGAGAGAAAATTGCAAAAAATTTCCGTTCCTGATGGAAAATTCCACATGAAATCAATCGTTCTCCGGATTTGATTGAATTAATTTTGTTCGCTTACTGAATTACATCAAAGCTCGCAACAATTATCTGTATAAGGGGAGGGATGCTTTCGCAGAGGACCATTTTAAGGAAAGCTGGCTTTATTTACATTACACATAGCGAAAACCATGAATCCAACCCTTTAAGCCGGGATTCAAACACAAGTGAGCTCCAAGTGTTCAGCCACTTTTACCGCTCTACTGAAGTGCTTGTAAAAAATTGATAAAGGAAAAGTATTGAAATAACCGATTTAATTTACTAACCTATATTTCTGAATCGACAGTACATAAATTAGGCATATGAGGGGATTATTTTGTGAATAAATAAACTGCATTGCACTTTTCTCCACTATTTCATATTGCGATGGAATTATTGCATTTCAAAGTTATTTCTCGTGAATTAATTTGCTCCATTCATGATTTTTTTATTTTGTCAAAGAGAAAAAATCACACTTTAAATAAAAAGTACACGAGAAGATACTGTATGCAAAATTTGGCATAAACAGTTTTCTTAATTTTGCTTTGGAAATATTCCAGGGTAACCGTTTTCATTACTGGAAGAAATATCAAAAACAGATTTACTACATTGTAAGTGTAAACACCCAGCATGCCCTTATTTTTTTGAAAACGTGAAAGATTACTCTTTCTAAAATAAATTAGAAAATACATTATGTGCAAATAGAATATTCGTTGAAAATCAAATAGACTTCAACCTTTGGATATAATGATTATTTTAGATGAAATTTCTGCCTATGAAAGGAAATGGATGTATAATTCTTTATAAA